ACCAAATTGAGTATATTTTGAAGAGGAAGATATTTTTCTAAATAAAGGACCACCACTGTCTCCACTGCAAGCATCCCTTCCTATGAAAATTATTGAAATTCACTTTCTAAAATTGTAAAAACTTACCATTTCCAGCTCCTGCACAAATTTGTTCAATATTAACTCCACCCAAATTCAAATTATTACAATATGACATTTTAACAATTGGAACAGATGCCTTTTGTAACTTTTTAGGATAATCCAAGTTAGAATTCAAAGCTCCCCAACCAGAAATTAAAACTAATCTAGAAGAATCACTTTCCTCATCATGAATTGCAATTGAATTTGCATCAATAGAAACTGTACTAACAGTTGAATCATCAATTGGCAATGCACTTTCAAGTTCAAATACAGCAATGTCATTTCTTTCTGTTCCTTTCTGATAGGAAGGATGAGCAATTTGATTTTTGACTTTGATGTATTTACAATTATCTGAACATGTATTATCATAAGTTCCGTAAACAACAACAAGTGTTGTAGATGAGTCTAAACAGTGAGCAGCTGTCAATACAAATGTACTCGATAGGATACTTCCTGTACAGAGATGTTCGAAAGCTCCGGACGAAAGTTGTTTTTGAATGGAAACAATGAAAGGAAATTCGTGTTCACCAGCAGTTTGACCATTTGCTACCTTGATGCCACGTTCATTATTTGGTGTAACTTGCAATTTTGCAGCCACAAGATGACAACTAAAAAATACAAGACAAATGACAGCTAAATATTTCAGCATTTTTTTTGTAAGAATGTTAATTTGACGAGAGTGGAAACATTTACTTCCAAGTATAACAACGGGTCTCTAACGGTTAGAGAAAGAAGAGAGGAGTGCGTATTGAGTGATTTAATACGCAATTCCTTTTAGTTTAATGCGTTTTAGAATAGTTTCTAATCTGAATTGTCTGTGTGAATGTCAAAATTCTCAATCAAACATTTGCAATTATTTCACTACAATTTATTGAGTATCTTGATTTTCAGACATGATATCAGCTGCAATTCTTCTCGACGCATTTTCAATTCCATAAAGTTTGACATATTGAGTGGCGACAAGTCTGTCCAATTCACAACCATTTCTATCATAACAAATACCTAACATGCCTTCAACTTCCTCTAAATTTGCTCCATTTCCTCTCGTTCTCAAGCATGGAGCAATTTTTTCACATCCATAATAGTAAAATTGTTTCTTACACTTACTAAAAATGGAACGTCTATCCAAACCATTCCATCTTTTCAGGCAATCAACTCTACATGCCACACAAGATGTTTGTTTATCAGAAACGAATGGAATTGGAGGAAGTCTTTGAGTGTGAGGTCCTAAAAATCCGTCAAATTTCTTCTTGGCCTTGAACATGATATTGAGAGCTTCCATTGTAAATGGAATATGTAAACCTTCTCCTCCTGATTTGGTTCTATTGTTTTTAGTTTCCTTGGATTCTTGTTGTTGTTGTTGTTGAGTTGTTTTAGTTTTGGAGGTTCGTCTAGCAGTAACCGAAACTCTTCCCAAATCGGTTGGTGACTTGTTGGTAGCTTTAGCTTTGGTTGCTGCAGATCTTCTTGCTCCCTTAGAAGAAGCAGATGATGATGACGAAGAAGCTTTTCCACCTCTACTCTTTCCACTGTTTCTTCCACTGTTTCTTCCAGATCTTGAGGATGATCTTGATCCACTTATACTTCCTCTGCTTCCTCTACCTCTTCCACTTCCTCTACTTCCTCTACTTCCTCTTCCAGAAGATGATCTTGAACCACCTTTGCTTCCTCTACTTCCTTTACCACCTCTGGATCCTCTACTTCCTCTTGAACCACGTCCTCCTCTACCTCTACCTCCTCTTCCTCTACCACCTCTACCACCACCACGACCACGTCCACCTCTTCCACCACCTCTGCCACCTTTCAAAGTGACAGCACTCAAGGTATTCAAGTGGTCCATGTCATCTTCTTGAAGAAGAGATTCTTCCTCAAGAGCATGTTGCAAGGTATTTCTTCTAAATTGACTGGAATCTTTAGGTAATGGATCAGAACAATTGGGTCTTGAACTATTAACTGTTTGGAAGTTGACCAAAAGTATGGAAACAACACAACATGCAAGAATTGACAAATCTTACTGCCTAACATTTTTTTACA